CTTGCCCTGTTTCATCAACAATCAAGGCTGCTATGTCATTCCCCGTCGGTAAATCATATTCTCTCCCATCATGAGCACGCTTGGCAATTAATTTGATCTTCACCTCTTTCACATTGCCTTCCTGTATCTTTTGCCTAGCCATCCGAAAGGTTTGAACCAGAACATTATTCCTATCAAACATTTCTTGCAAGCGTTCAACAATATCTGGTCGCAATGAACTGGAGGCATCATCAACTGGAAATAGATGCATACGACTCTGTAGTTCAGAACTTGAGTCATGAATGTATAATTGGGCAAACCTCGGTGGCTGACCGTCTGCAGGTAATAAGCTGCCTATAGAGTGATAAATTTGTCCTCCTATAGAGTACACATAGACCCCTCGACCATCATTTATACCACGATCCACTTTCCCGCCCAGGGAGATAAAGCAAAACACAGCATTGTATCTACGAATGGCTTCCGGAAATGACGGCTCATAGGTGTAGAAGAATGTAACAATTCATTCAAAAACTCTGGTGGAGCACGTCTAGGGGGTAGTTTTACCTTTCCAGCCTTACAACACAATGAGAAAGTGGGATTAACACGACTCCTAGTAGGAACCGTACTTTCTTGCACCCACATAATTGCTGCACAGTATTGACAAATGCTTGTAGGCTCGCCGAGACTAAAAAATTCCACAACAGGATATCCTACAATCAAAGTAGTCACATAAGATCACTCACACATGATGCATACATATTTACAATATACAAATATAAAATATGATGCCACAAACCATGGGAACGGGAGAACCCCCTCGGTACAGCATTAACCATCCGCCTTTTGTACAAATGAATCGCTCGCATTAAACGTGCCCTTTTTGTCCGAAGGTTGGAGATACATGAACTATAATCTGTGGTAACAAAGTTAATTATGCATGAACTAAATCCATTAGTACGACGTGGAATCCTGCTCCGCGATATATACAACGCAATGCACATATGGACTATGGTATGCATAATAAAAGCGTTTAAAAGATGCTAAGCTTACCATGTGGAATATATTGAACAGTACGTCGCAAGCGCGCGTTCAAGATCTCCCGTCGTCGTTTTCGATAGAATTTAGCTATCAAGCGATCAATATGCTCAACTTGTGATTGAAGGGTGAGTATTTCTGCAATTGAAATATACAAATCAAATTATTTTGCTTTTGTGCCAAAGTAAACTTTAATTAAATGTACCAAAAAATAAATCGCGGAACTACGTTGCTTAAGACGATCCCTTTCAGCAGCGGTTTGTTTATTGGAAGGAGGTTTCGGCGGGTTGAATATAGCTCGCATGAACCCTGCAAAATACGACAGAATTAAGTCAGCAAGTATATGTGGTGTCCATTTTGAATACGTACAATACCAGCGGAACATGAAAAAAACCAAAGAAATCAACTTACATTTGCCCTTTGAATTGCGACGGTTGGGAGCACTGGTTTGCACTGAAGAGGTTCCACCAGTTTGTTGATTTCCGGACATTATCTTGATTGCAATCACACTTAATCATGAACCAGCAAGCGCTAATTGATCAAAAATAAAGGTTTACTTAGGCCACCACGACAGGCTGTAGAAGCTCTCTCCTCCCACGCATCTCCAATCCCTCCCCTCTTGACACACACCCTTCACACTTACAGCTGGGGAGGAGTTGGGGAATTCAATTGGAGGAGTAGCAACTCCCTCCGCCCACGCGTCCCTCACAATTGCATATGTAGTATTGAAGTGCAGGGCTTGAGACCGAAAGCGATATGGAGATGTAGTATTGAACTGCAGAGCTTGAGACCGAAAGCGATATGGAGAAAGAAGTAAACACGGCATGGACTGCCACAACAGCTGACTATGGGTTCCGAGAGATTTCGATGGAATCATTTCACCAGCAGTCTTTGGGCCTACTACGTCAGGGGGGAATAGTTTGGGCCGGATACTTCAGGGGGCAACAGCCCGGCCCGACTATATAATAAACTGCCCAGGTCCACCCGCAGAAAGTGTTGGAGGTGAAACGCACAGCTTTATTTAAGTGTGAAATGCCTATAGTGCCCTTCCGACAAACCCTCTGCGGGCTGGAAATTTGAATCCCTGCAAACTAAACACTTGTTTTGGCTTCATATATCTTATAGATTGAAAAATCCTTTTCTTTCCCTTTACCCGTTATTTTTTTCCCCACTTGCAACTGCCTATTTTTTTCCTTTGCATGCTTTTGTGTAAATACGTTTGTCCAATTGGCAATTGTCACTCCTAGAAATGACGGATTAATTAGCTAAAAATAAGTACTGTAAAATCATTTTGGAGGTTGTATCATAAAAAATTAGTAATAGGATATTTTATACTTAAAAGTTAAGTAGTGATTTACCGGCGGTTCAACCATTTTGTACAACTAAAATTTTCATATTGATTTAGCCTCCGATAGGAGGCTTTTTCAGTCGGACCACCAATACGATATGGCTTTACAAATACTGTCGTTTTCAAAATTCTATACAATTGTATTTTGTTTGGCCGGTTAAAATACACTTAGTACTATTTTATTTAAGATCGAAAAAATAACAATTATATCAATTGTATATCAACGGTCATGATGATATTAGAATATTAAATTTTACTTGAAGAATTAATTGGTCAAAGTTAACATTTCATATGCACCTGAAATTCATAGTGTATAATGCATTATATAAATAATTGAAGTATTGTAATTGACTGTTAGTTTAAACATTAAAATTTTTTATTTGAACCTGAGCTCAAACAACAAAGGTTTTGGAAATTAAGGTTTTTACTCAGAAATTACCTAATGCATACAAGTTAGGGTGTGCCTACGGTGACATGCATGTCACGGTGACTTGCACTTTCCGGTCGACCTCAGTTAGGATTAGGTCGACCTCATATAGAATTCGGTCGACCTCATATAGGATCCGGTCGACCTCATTTAGGATTCGGTCGACCTCATATAGGATCCGGTCGACCTAATATGTTGTTTCAGTGTAAAAACAGTTCATGGTGCCTACTTTGGATATTCATATCATACAATTGGCTAGATGGAAATTGAAGACTAATGACTTGTTATGAAGCTGGAGTGTCCCTCTACATATTGAAGTGATTGAGAGCTCGATAGGAAGTCCAGAAGACCATTTTTGAACCTCATCAAAAGGCTATGCCAAAACTGGGAAACTGCCTAGAAATGGCTAAGTCTGGAAACGTGTTTGTGAAGCCTATTTTTGAGCTGAATTCGAGAAGCATGAATGCGAGTCGAGTCCAGGAGCCTCTACCACGTTAAATTAGGTATGTTTTTATACAAATTCAAGGAATTGGATGAAAGATTGGATATCTTTAAGGCTTCAAACAAAAGGGTCGAAGTTGCTACGAAGGCTGTTTTTCTGGCAGACTTCGAGCACAAGCAAGCTGCCAGAAAAACAGCCTTCGTAGCAACTTCGAGCCTTTTGTTTGAAGCCTTAAATATATTCAATCTTTCATTCAATGCCTTGCCTTTGTATAAAAAAATACATAATTTAACGTGGTAAAGGCCCCTGGATTGGACTCTCATCCATGCTTGTCAAATTGAGCTCCAAAGTAGGCTTGACAAACACGTTGCCAGTTTTGGCATAGCCTTTTGGTCAGGTTCAAAAATGGTCTTCTGGACTTTCTATTGAGCTCCCAAGTACTTTAATGTGTAGAGGGACACTTCAGCTTCAAAACAAGCCTTTAATCTCCAATTTCCATCTAGCCAATTGTAAGATATGAATCTCCAAAGTAGGCACCATGAAACTGTTTGTACACTGAAACAACTGATTAGGTCGACCTGATCCTATATGAGGTCGACCGAAAAGTGCATGTCACCGTGACATGCATGTCACCGTAGCAAAGTCCTACAAGTTAATCTCACATAAACCTGAAATTGTTTGTCATAAACTTATACTTGGGTGACACATGAAATATCATAAGTATCTTTTGAAAAATGTATAAAAAATATTTTAAATATAATATATATTAATTAGTATAAATGTCATGTATTCCATTGGAGCGATATTTTTTTGGCTGGTTGTTGGTCACAAAATAACAATTCTTTCATTATAAAAAATAATTAAATGATAGTCAACCGGCCAACGGCCAGGTTCAATGCTAGTAATTATTAGTAAGATTTTAATTGGTCAATTAAAGAAACTTAAAATATTTCGACAAAAAAAAAAGAAACTTAATATAAATAGCGATGTTCTGGAGACCAATTTATATTAAACACTTCCGTCCTCTATGGACCATAAGATTTAAATAGAAAATGACTGAATGCCCCCTCCGTGAGCGGGGAAAAGTTGGTTGTCAACCCGCGGGTTGACCCGGATCCGGTCGAGCTAGTGGGTTAATGGTTAAAGGGTCACTTATTTTAGTCCGTTTCAGCCCGAAAATATGAAAAGAGTCATTATATTGTACTTATCCTGATAAATTATATCAAATCTCATCTAACATATGAGTAATAACATATAACATTACACCAAAGTAACATATATCGTACTTAGATCCAACATATAGCGAAAATTCACACACACTTATATAACATCAATATTTAAGTGTTCGACTAAGGATTCCAAAGATTGAGTTAGGCGAAAAGAAAAATCGGAAAATAGGCGCATTTCACAAACCAAAGAAAAAAAATGACACAATTTGACCTCCAACCCGATACCTTGTAGCGGTCGACCCGACGGGTGCGTGCGGCCCATTTTTCTCATTGGGTCAGGGTCAAAGTGGGTCGACCCGCAGGTTGACAACCTTGATTAAGGGGTTGAAGGAGGAGAACCTCCATAAATGTATTGTTTGATGATTACGACTTTATCCTTTTTTATCGCAAGTCTTCTCTCTCACCTCCGTTTTCCGTTCCGGAACAAATATCAAATCATGGAGTGCCATTGCAGGCCATTGGAGCTCTCCAGCAGAAAATAATCTTTTGATTGGCTTGGATCAAGACTACTTTTTTCCTGTATCTCTACATACTTTCTTTCTATTTCTTCATCCTCAGCAGATTCATCTCCGCCTCCTGCCTCGCCATATGCTTCCTCATCAAAGCCGTACTGTATTCCTTTTCCAAACGCCTCTCGTCTTCCATGGTCAACTCGTACTTAAGAATTTTATCGGCATCCACCAATCCAAGCGAGATCAGGTTGAATCTCGAAGTTCCGATCTTTGATCTCAATCTAACTTCTCCCGATCGGCCTCCAGCTTTAGGTACCGAACCGGAGTCGGCACATTTATCTAACTTCATTCTCGCGATTCAAAACATCTCTCATCCTTTGATATGAATCTTCTCGTCTCCTCCACCAGTTAATTCTCGTCGTCTGAACTCCATTGATGGAGTAGGAATAAAGAAGGAAAAATCGAGTAGTGATTTAGGGCTTTAGTCATACGATGTCGAGCGTAGTTATTGGGTTATTTAATTATTTGATTTAAGGATAATTTAGTAATTTTAACCTTAAATTTAGGATGATAATAGTAAAACCAGGGCGACATTTAGCCATCCAGAATTTTATTGGGGTGATAACCCCATAATGGGGTTGTGAGATTGACAACCCATTTTATAACCATAGGATCCATTCTCTCTCTTGTCTCTTTCTTTTATTTTTTTCAAATCAATGGTACAGATTGGATTAAGGGTATTTTTGGACAAAAAAAATTGACCACACTAGATTATTACCCCTATTAATACCTAAAACCCTACATTCTCTCTTTCCTCTCTCTCTCACACGCCATCTTTCTTCTTCCTATTCTTCTTCTTCTTCCTCCCATCTCTTCCCTCTCTCTATATCGGCTGCCACCACCGTTGTCGCAGCCGTCTTGCCGACCCGCCACGCCCTCCGCCTCTCATCACTGCTGCAGCCCTCTCGTCGGCGTGCCCTCCGCCTCCCAGCAATGTCACGTCCCTCGCCCCGCAGCCATCGCGGCCTCCTCCTCTCACCACCGCCGCGCCATCACCCTCTCCCCGTCGCAACCCTCCCGCCGCCCTCTGTCTCCCACCACCACTGTCGCCACGAGGTCACCGCCTCTCCCCTGCCTCCCCCTTTCGTCATCCCTGATTTTTTTTTTCCAGATCTGTAATTTTTCATATTTCAGATCTGGTTTTTTTTTTGTGCTAGTCTCTAGTGGTACGCTACCAGTGGCAATGGTACCGCTACCAGTGGTACTGGTACTGCTAATGGTAGTGTACCACTAGTACTGGTAGCGTACCACTAGCACTGGTACATTTTTTAAAGCACTAGTAGCGTACCACTAGCACTGGTATATTAATTACCAGTAGACTAATGGATCGGTACACTTTTTAACGCACTGGTACATTTTTCAGGTTGCTGGAGGGAGTCTGCCGGAGAGAATTCGCCGGAGAAAAAGTCTGTCCATCGAAGCGGAGTGGCCGCAGGAGAAAGGAAGAGAGAGATAGATATATTAACGTAATTTTTACCCTATTGTATCGGTCGTTCAGGCTGAAAATATCGGATATGCGATCCAAAATGGTAGGTGATTTTAGCAGTACAAGACCGTTGAACTATAGTTCAACCATGATTTTAGTATAAAATATCATAACATTAACTTTTTCGATATAAGTTTCAATATGGTTACACAATCATTAGTTTCCCCCTCCTATAATGGGAAAATTCTTAGCTCCAACCTTGGTTGGATGCAGAAGCTCCAACTAGCTACGTGTGAGTCTGTTATTGGTAGACTGACCTTCCTTTTTTCTTAATATTTCATGTCCTTAATTATGCTAAATAAATTAATAATTATAATATAAAAAATAAAGATAAACTAACTAATAGGAATCTAACATGTGGCTTGGTTGGAGCTTTGTATCTACCATGTGCAGTGCTTGCTTGGTCTAATTTTTTTTGTCTTTCTCGACCATAATTTTTAGTCTCTTTCTTTGTCCTAATTTTTATTTCCTCTTCTCCTCATCGCCAACTAAGGATTACCAACAAAAACACAAGAACACACACGTCAAACATATTTTTACTTGTCAAATACTGACCACTTAATTAACAAAAAGATTATTTATCATGTTAATAACTTATAAAAGAAGTTCTTATATTTGCTAAGAGTAACTTTGATTTAAAAAAGGCGAGGACACTATGGTCATTTATCTTCCAACATGGTAGAGATTTGCCAATTCAAAGAGCCCATATGAAATTAAAATTATTTCAGTCGAAGGAATTGTATTTCCAATATGGGAGGTTTACCAATTGTATTTTTTTTTATAAATGGATGCAGTGCGTCCTAGGCTCTCAGTCTTCATTCAAAACCAAACGGAGTTCAGAGAGCCCCTGATAATCGTACATAATGAAGTTACACAAAGCGGGATCGGAACAGGAGATGGAATGGTGACCAAGGGGCAACAGATGCCCTCGACTAGCAAGATGATCGGCACACTTATTCCCTTCTCTGAAAATATGGGATACAACAACTTCCTATTGATGAGTGAGCAGCTCTCTAAATCTCTGGATAATGGCCGCTTGTTGATGATCTGGCGAGTCCAGACTTCCGAGGAGTTGAACCGCACAGAGAGAATCGAGCTCTACTCTGACACGTCTGAAATCGGTGTCCCAAGCCAGCTGCAACCCTTCTACAACGCCTCTCAACTCCGCTCGGGTGATAGAGCAACTCCCCAGGTTAATCGCGTACGCTGCAAGGCATCGTCCTGTGTGATCTCGAATCAGGCCACCGACAGCTGCATGGCCTAAGTCAGTATGAACGGAGCCGTCGGAGTTGAAAGTAACCCACTCGGGAGGTGGCGGCTTCCAAGAGATCTCCACCTCCATTCTCATGGGCAGACGAGGCTGGTGAATGAGCCTGTCTTTGTCCAAAGCATTCTGCACGACATTAATCCAAACCCGGACGCGTTGTATAAAGGCTGCAGTGGTCGTGATCTTGTATGCAAAGACTCGATCATTTCTGGTCGCCAAAGGGACCAACAAACAATGTCAAACTCAAGGCTAGTGTGCTCCCGTCGAACATGATAGAGAATCCAATCCTCCAAATGGGGTCTGAAAAACCGCTGGTGGTCAGAAGGCTGTATGAATTGCATCCAAGTTAACCTGGAAAAAGCACAGTCTCGCAACACATGCAATACTGTTTCAGGGGCTGCTTTGCACTGGGGGCAGATGTTCGTGGTGGATAAGTGCCTCCTATGTCGTTCGCCGTTGATGAGGAGGCGCTCCCTTGCTGCTAACCAGAGAAAATGAGTGACTCGTGTTGGCCCTCTCCACCGCCAAATGGAACGCCAGTCAAAAGCATTCATGGGATCGTCTCCTTCACTGATGAGCTGGTACGCAGATTTGACCCTGGAACGCCCGTCCCGCTCCGATCCCAGGTCGGGGAGTCAGCGCCGTACACTTCTCTCGGCGGTTGCACGCCCAAAACTTGCAAACCAATCTCCTCTGACAAATGTGAGCGTAAAAGTTGTACGTTCCACTCAAATCTACTACACAAAGTCGCAAATCATGCCTTCAGACGACCCCTAAATAAATAACATTCAACTTTTGTCTGTACTACTTTTTACACTCAAAATTTATCTCTCAAATGTGGGGTAAATATTTATTAGTATTTTTTTGACAAAAGATAATTATAAATTGATTTGAAAATGATTTGAAAATATTTATTAGTATCATAGACCAGTTTAAAAACAAAAAATAATATGACCTAATTTATCTAATTACAATTTTTTCACATCAATTAGTTAGTAAATTTTTAATTGATTATCTGATACTTAATGTTTGTAGTGTAGTGAGTCTCGTGAACCTCGCAAATCAAACAAGACTTAATATTAGTAGCAAGGACGAAGCAGCATGGAGGAGAGTGGGTCACTGACACCACCCTTCTTAGCCCCAAAAAATTTACCAACATATATGCAGTCCAATCCATGGGTTAATTGCATGTCATGCCACTTAAGTTTGACTTGGTTGCACGTTAACCACTTATATTTGTTTAGTTGCAATTAAAACACTTAAGTTCAATATTCGTTGCACCGTCACCTTTTTCATCCAAAAACTTAACGGCCGGTATGAAAAAGTAATTTTACATGCCACATGGACATTCTATAGCAGCTTTGGATTGCTCTACTCACAGAAGCTTGGCTGCAACGCCTTCTTGTTCCGCATCTCCTACAACACATCCGAGATTCCGGGCTACGATTTGTCAACTGATGGAAATAGCAAAAATCGAATATTAGTCGCGGTGATTTCTCTCGATGAGGATTTTGATTGGAGTAGAGAATCCTTTACTCCGGCATTGCGATTGAGTATGTTGATACTTTGTTTCTCGTGTATTGGAACATGGGACTTTGGCATTGGACGATATTTATTTTAGCTTCTACAATGATCTGAGTTTTTTTTTTGTTTTCTTTCGATGCTTTCAATTTTATCATTGTCCAATGAGCATGAGATTCAAAGCCAATCTCGGCAAGCTCTCGTCTTTCAATCTCGACAAGCTCTCTTCTTGCTATATCTACTCTCTCCGAAGTCTTCTCCAACTCATCCAGCAACGCTTTGTTCTCTTCTCTCCCCAATAGTTTGTCAACTTGCTTGCCCACCATGTCGCTGAGTGCATCTTTAAGATTATCGCTACCCCTACATTTCGCGACGACCGATCCATTGGGAAACGAAGAACTGGGTCAAGAGAAGAGAGGCGGCGACGATGGGAATTTGTTGCTTAATAATGAAAAAATCGGCTTGGCCGTGCTCGTTCTTGAAATGACTGGATGATAATACGATTGCACCGCTTGCTTGGCCACCATTTTTTTCCCCAGTCTTCGTGGGAAGCAAGCAGAAATGGAGAAGGATTGCTCTCGTGTGGGATTGATGACCCTGAAAACCGAAACATTTCTTTTCTTCCTTGGGAGGATAATAAAACGAGGAGAATTTGACGAAAGGAGGCGACTTTTTCTTTTGTTAATTTGGAGGGGCAATGTTGGGGTTAATTGCATGCCATGCCACTTAAGTTTAGCCCAACTTTTGTGAGTCAGCAATTCAAAGTTGTGTAGAATGTCCATGTGGCATGTAAAATTACTTTTTCATACCCGTCGTTAAGTTTTTGGATGGAAAAAATGACGGTGAAACGAACATTGAACATAAGTATTTTAGTTGTAACTAAACAAATCTAAGTGATTAACGTGCGACCAAGCCAAAACTTAAGTGGCATGCAATTAACCCTCCAATCCATGGTGATCGAAACCTGATAATTTCAATAATTAGCTCACTTGTTTAAACCAACGAGTTTCACAGTTCACACAGTGATTTATATTGACGAGAGTCGTTAGCAATGGAAGCGAACTGCACACAGCTAACTCGTCAATCCGAATGCCTATTTCTTTAATAATGCTCGGTCTACCAACGAGCTAGTTGTCCTATCGTCGTTTACGGCCAAAACCCCATTCCATCGGCAAAAATTCCCACCCAAATCCAATTCGTTATCGTCCGCCTCGGTTCCGTCGGCAATGGCCAGTTCCACCCTATCGGCTCTGCCAATTTCGTCGTCGGCAGCAGCCACCACGTCGTCCGACAGCCTCCGCCTCGTCCCATCGTCGCTTTCGCTCCAGGGAAATAAGCTACCGATTCGGCGCTTCAGTTCGAGCAGCGTTGTTCTTAAATGGCGTCGTCCGACGGTTGCCAGAATCTCGTCTAGTCTCCCCACGACGTAAGCTTTTTTGGTCTCTGATTCCTCGGCTTCATTGGAAGTTTGGGCTACTTGTATATTGTGGAAGGGAATCTTTGTTTTAACTTCGGTTTTTGGTGCTTGTTTCGTCGCAGGAAGTATGATCCAGCTAAAGTTCCAAAGTGCGTGTCTAATTGGTTTTTCGATTGAAAGTAACGTTTCTGCTTTCAACTTCTTTGTAAAGCATAACATGGGTGGTGTTTGATTTAAAGAGGTTTGTTTCTCTGTGAGTGGTTCAGATGGTCCGCTAGAGCGATTAGGTCGTTTGGATTTGGGGAATTGGAAGCGAGGAAGCTCAAGTATCCGAATACAGGAACTGAAGCCATCCTAATGGGCATTTTGATTGAAGGTAAGTAAGGCTATTGGAGATAAAAAGTCGACGGCTTTATTTTGTAATGTTACATACACAGTGTTCTGGGTCTTGAGCTTGCCTAACATTTGGTCTGTAACCATAGAGTTCTGAAGGCCTAGTAGTCTTGCTGTATAATTATGAACTGCTTGAATCCTGGTTAGGGAGATGTTGTTGTTTGAGGGAATGGAAGGGTCTGGATCCTGGCTACAGAATTCATGATTTGTTACTGTTTGCAAGTATTTTGATTTACTTTGAAAGTTTACTTCTTGTTTAAGAAATGCAAAACCTGAACAGTAATTTGTTAATTTCAGGAACCAGTTCAGCTGCAAAGTTCCTAAGGGCTAATGGAATCACTTTCTTCAAGGTCAGGCAAGAAATTGTAGACTTGCTTGGGAAATCTGACTTGTTCTTCTTTAGTCCTGAGCATCCACCGTTAACTGAACAGGCCCAAAGGGCCCTTGATAAGGCCATTGAAGAGAAACTAAAGTCAGGTATAGTGTTATTCTCTTGGTATTTGGTACTTTGGTATCTAGATGCTTCTTCTGTAGTGAGTCCTAGTTGGACTAATGCAAGATGGGAATGAACGAATGTCAGCTGTGTAACATAAAGGATGTACAGCTAAAATGTATTATTTTGCTTCATTGAGGAACTGGAGTTGGCTGGTGTAGGTGAGGTTTTTGTGTTGTGGGTATTTCATACGTCTGGTATCTTGTTTGTTAGAGGTTTTGAAACAGAAGTGTCAGCTGTGAGATTAAAAGGCAACAAGATGATTCCTGGAACATTTTCTTTGTTTTCATCAGAGATTTTAAGATGGTCTTTTCCCTTCAAATTTCTTCACAGCCTTTGTATTCCAAAATTAGTGCTTCTTAATCCCGCTTTGCTGTTTGTCCTCTGAATCTTTATGTGTGGTAATAATTGAATGCGAAAGAAATGGGGTAAATCTTAGACAGATAGATCAATGGAGCTCAGAAACATGGGAATGTTCAAGAGTACTATGTAATTCTCCAGGCTGAAACAATAGAAGTCTATATTGATATACATATGAATACCTGGGGACAACAGCCCCTCTATTCTCTTCTATATGAAAAAATGAAATACCGCGGCATTGAAAGAGATCATTTGCAATTTTCATTGCAAAGAAAAGTTTTTCCTTGTGGGGGGTTGATTTGTCATTTGGCTTTTGTACGATTCGCAGGGGATGATGGAGAAATAACCCCATCACATATACTACTAGGGCTTTGGTCGGAAACCGATTCTGCAGGTCAAAAGATCCTGGAGACTCTTGGTTTTACGAATGAAATGGCGAAAGAGCTTGTCAACTATGTAAGTTCCATTGCTTTTTGTTCTCTGCTGTGGGCTTCATAAGGGTCTAGACCGCAAACATAACATATTTACAACACTTGCAGGTAGATGAAGGTGCCGCCTTGAGCTCTAGGTAGGAAAGCTGTACCAGTTTCTGAGATCCAGGTTTGCTGCTTGATCCGAGAATGCTGTGCTGGATGGACAAGTACCTGGTACAGCAAGTTCATGCTTTTGGGGGAAAATCACTGGCCTTTCAGAATAGTTACATACTGTAACCACAAAGCGCCAAATGCTTGCTTTGCCTTAGGATGAGATTCTCCAAATCTGTACTTTCTGATATGCAGCAGCATCTTGCAGAATGCGGCTGGTGAAAACTGAAAAGGCTTGGTAGTTGTATCGGAGTGGTAAATGATTTTGTGCTTTGAATTCGTTTCAATTTTTTCAATCTGTAGTCAATATGTTTTCTGTGCAACATCTACTGTTAAAATTCAACTGTGAAATTGTTTATGTTAGTAGAAATTGGGGCATCTAAATTTTGAACTAGGCAGCTAAGTCTCTCTGTATGGATATTCTTATGCACTGATGATTAAAAGGCACAAATGATTTCGTATTTGTGTTGACACAAGTAGCAGAAATCTGATCGTGTAGTTGTATTTTAACAGAGAAGATATCAAATACGCGAATAGCATTTTATATCAAATGCCATAGAAAATGTACCTAAAAAATCCAAAAGTACCACTGTTTAAAAAAAAAATTCCAAAAATACCACCCAACCCCAAAAAATTCCAAAAATACCATCCTTTTTCAAAAACCGCCACCCCACCCAGCGGTTTGGTCGAAAACCGCTTGTCGGGGGCGCGGTTTTGGACCAAACCGCGGGCCTAGGGGGTGGTTATAAAAAAAAAAAAATTGGACCAAACTGATGGGTGGGGTGGCGGTTTGGCCCAAAACCGCCACCCCAACCAGCGGTTTGGTCCAAAAATTTTTTTTTCCGACCAACTCCTAACTTCGGTCGAAACTTCAAACGAACGTAACTTTGCACTCGGGTATCCGATCGTAGCGATTTTTTTTTTCATTTCGCATAACTTTTCAAGATCTACAACTTTTACTAGGGGCCCGACTCGGCCCTGCTCTGCCCAGGTCGCCCCGGCCCGATGGGCTTCGGCCCACGGCGCTCGGCCACCCCACCTCCCAGCGGCCCGCCTCCTTCCGACCTCCGCCCGGCCCGCCTTCCATCCCTGATTGGCCCACCTGACTGCCTTCGTCCCCTCTATAATCCGCCCCTGACCCATACAGCTCGTTGGGCCATGGCCCATGATCAAACTCCTGCTCCAGGTCCACCAACTCTTCCCCGTCCAGGCCCACTTGTAGATCCGGGTACACGTACTCGGCCATCTTGGCCTTGTCGCGTGCGCGCGCCACCTCCTGGGCCGTTGGGGTCGGTAACAGCCCGTCCTTGATTATTGGGCCGAAAGAGACGTGGCCCACACGTGAGACGGGTGGCCGGTTAGGGTTGGCCATCGCCGATCCCCTCTTCTCGCCCGAACCATCCGCCTCCCTGTCCGCCGAGACCCGCGCAGCGCCTTGGCCGCCGAGCGCCGCTACCGAGGCGGAGCCCTCCCCCGGCGTTTCTCCTTCCCCCTTCGGCTGCCCGCCGCCGCCAGCTCGGCCCCCGCCTTTCTTCCAAGCCTCCGTCAGGCTGCTCACCTGCCCCTGCAGCGCCTCCACCGCCGCCAGCAATGCGTCAAGGGTGCGACCGTGATCTCTGGCCTTCACCTGCAGCCCATTCAGCTCCTCCTCCACCCGCGCTTGCCTCTCTGTTTGTGTCTCCACGACGTTCCTCAGCTCCTCGATCTCCGTAAGATCCTCCACCACCCCGTCGAGCCCTCCGTCACCCGCATCGGTGCCTTTCTCGGCTGCCTGAGCCGCCCTCTCTGCCGCTTTCATTGACTTCGTCGATACCATTGCTGTCTTCCCTGGTTCAAGAGCTCAAAAGAACTCACTCTCAAGCCAGGCTCTGATACCAGATGTTAGAAACAAAGTTTCTAACGGGTTTGGGATTAGGGAATTAGCTAGATTAATTAGGGATTGACCGAGCTAGGGATTGGGAATTGGGAATTGAGAACAAAAAGGAGAGGGAAAGCTTGCTGCTGCCGCAGCTTTGGGAAGAAGAAGAAGAAGAAGAAGGAGAGAGGGAGGTTCAGCGCAGGAGGGAGGAAAGAGAGAGGGAGATTAGTTTTAGGTTTTCTGAAATTGATTGCTTCCCGTCAAAATAACACCCTACTGCAGATTATATAATCCGCCAATTCTCTAACTCCTACCCAATTAATAAAATGTAACAATTGACTCCCTGCTTATTGCTAAATACCCCAAATAATCCCCCAATTATCAAATACCGACAATAATACGAAATAACAAAAAGCTGCAAATTATTTGTTTCTAACATTAAATCCCAACTTGAAGTACAAATATTCAAATCCTCAACCTTGATGAAACCCCAAGATTTCACAACCAAATTCATCAACTAAATTAGCCATCAATGACTGCCACAATGAGCTATATAAAGAGTATCTAGAAAACGGAGAACTCGAACAGTTAGTCACTAGAAAATGAGTCGAGCACAGCTTGTTTACTATAATTTTGGCTCAAGTTTGGCTTGAATTTAACTTGAGCTCAACTCATTAATGTGCTCACGAGTTTGATCTACTCGAGCCTATTTCATTTATAATTCTAAATAGTTAAACTCCTAATTTAAACTTTAAAATAACTTTACAAATTAGATACCCTAATAATTGAAAAAGGAATAATAGTAAACTTTTCCTCTCACACTTATATACTCGGTTGATATAATAATTTAGCTCATAAATATAACTAGCTAAATATAATTTTATTTAATAGAAATTAGTAAGCAACCTATAATAATCAACTTTCTTTTTTTTTTTGTAGAAAACAGACGCCAATGACGTCTAACTCATATTAGGAATATCACGATCCATGGTTGTCTCCATGGTATCATAGGCCAGCCAATAAAAATGAGTCATATCTGGTCATATACTCAAAGTCTTTAACCATCCTATGTTGTGAATATATAATCCAGCAAACGTATGAACTATCAACAAGTTAACTCATAAGTTGTAGATCATTCAGTAATAAGTCGTTAGTCCAGTTGGCTCGCTAGCTCCACCGTCGATCCAGCTCGTAAGTTCTAAACGAGCTAGCTCATGAGTTGAGCTCCATTAGCCACTGAATCGAACTGACTTGCAAGTCTCATGAGCTTAACAATGCTTAGCTCAAATTCATCTCGTTAGTAAACAAACCGAGTTTCGAACAAATTGAGCATCGAATCGCTAGTGAGCCGTTTGGCTCATTTCCGACCCTATCACCAAGTGATGTTGCAAGTGATGTGGGGACTTGTAGTACCGGAGCTTGTCAAGCCGGGCCGGCAGCGTAGCTGCCATTGATATTACAGTAGAACCATTACTCATCCATTCATGAATGTTTCACTGTACCATTATTGATCCGCCACCAAACGGATAACAGAGCATTCATTGTGTGCCCGGAAACAAAGCTCTTGTAACATTTCTATCAACGATTCAACGTCGATTGCAACCAGCTTCATTAATTAACTAGTGCCAATCTACACTCATTGTCAAACTAAGCTGACTACAAAAATTTCCAGGAAACAACAAGTTGAGGCGGAGGCTGTTGCAAAGTGAAACAGCAAGTTGGCAGTCCTGTCAAAGTTGATTCTGATTTGCGGTACAAGAGGATGTGGGGACTTGCACCATTTCTTTTCAACCCAGCGGCTCATAGCTGCATTGATATTACAGGAGAGCAAGCATTATCCTTTCCATGTATGTTTTCCTGTATCATTATTGATCTGCCACCAATCGGAGAACAGAGCATTCATTGTGTGCCGGAACAAGCTCTTGTAGCATTTCCATCAATGTTGATTAATCGTCAAATTACCTGTCGATTCCCGACGGTTGAGACTCTGAGACCCCCTTCTGCTTGCCAACCAACTTCATTGATTAATCAAAACTCGTCGTTACCTGCAACATGTAATTGTCGGAGTTATGCCTGTGTACATTCATCGTCAAAGTAAGTTGTCTATAAAGTTTCCAGGAAAAAAGTTCATTAGCCGCAGTGATCAGGAGTTCTTCCTTCCTGAGCAAGAAAGGAACTAAACAATCAGAAAACAAAATGAAAATGCCGCGAAAATCAATCATACTACTCACTACAGTCTATTATTACATCCTGCTTTTCTCCCCACTGATCAACTTCCTTGTGTCGCCAGCAAATGCTTACAGCAGCAGCAGTGCGAATGAAACCGATCGGCTTGCCTTGATCGAATTCAGAAAAGCAATAACCAGCGACCCAAATGGGTTTTTCCAGTCGTGGAACGATTCAGTCCATTTCTGCAACTGGGCGGGGATTTCCTGTGGAGGCAACCCTGCAGGATTGCAAAGAGTCAGATCTCTGGAGATTAATCAGCAAGACCTGGTAGGCACTCTGTCTCCACACATCGGAAACCTCAGCTTCCTTCAGGCTATCAGCCTGGATAACAACACCTTCAAGGGCGGGATTCCAGCGGAAATCGGAAACCTACTTAACCTCCAGGAGCTAAATATCACCAGGAATTCTCTCGATGGAGAACTTCCTGACAACATAACACAGTGCTCCGAGCTCAGGATTATCAGATTGCACTTAAATCACTTACAAGGGAGGATCCCTCTGGGGTTAGGTTCTTTATCAAAGCTCGAGGTTTTCAGGATCAACGACAATAACATGACGGGAGAGATTCCTGCTTCGGTTGGAAACCTGTCGAACCTGATAGAGTTTGCAGTGTCATTTATCAACTTGGTTGGAACAGTTCCAGAGAGCTTAGGCAACCTGCGCAGCTTGTACTCCATCTCTCTAGCCGGCAACCAACTGACCGGTCCGATTCCTCGATCCTTATTTAATAGTACGACACTCAGAATCATTGCCCTTCCTTGGAATCAATTCTCGGGTAGTTTGCCGGAGGATATAGGCTTCACTGTACCGAATCTCCAGCAGTTCGCTATTTCCAAGAACAAATTCGTGGGCCAAGTTCCCAAATCATTCTGCAATGTCACCGGGTTACAGGTGCTGGACATGAACAAGAATGGTTTCACGGGACGGATTCCCAATTGTCTCGGGAATTTGGCCAGATTCACCTGGCTATCGGTTGGAGTGAATCGTCTCGGCAGTTATTCAGCAGCGGACTTTGAGTTCTTGACTGGATTGCAGAATTGTACCCAGCTACAATTGTTGGTCATAAGTGGTAACAACTTTGGAGGTAATTTACCGGACTCCATAGCTAACCTCTCAGTCCAGCTCACTAGGCTTAGCGTTGCGCATAATCAGCTGACAGGAGAAATCCCTTCCGGCCTGGAGAAATTCATCAACTTGAACGACCTGGAACTGAATGATAACCTCTTCCGAGGCATGATTCCCTCTTACTTCAGCAAGTTTCCGAACTTGCAAAGCTTGCACTTGGAAGGGAATCAGCTATCGGGACAAATTCCGGCCACCATCAACAACCTGACTCAGTTGTCAGTGCTCGATGTCTCGGACAACAGACTAGAAGGCGTTATTCCCTCGGGTATCAGATCGTTTGTGCATTTGAACTACCTGGACGTTTCGGGGAACACTTTTTCCGGCACTATCCCTGGCGAGGTCTTCAGTCTTCCTTCCTTGACTAAACTATTGAACCTGTCGAACAATGAGTTCACTGGCAACCTGCCTCCAGAAATTGGGAAGTTACATTCCCTAATCGCTTTGGATGTTTCTCATAATTTGCTGATGGGGCCAATTCCAAACAGCATCGGGGATTGCAAGAGCTTGGAGTTTCTGTACTTGCAAGGGAATTCCTTCAATAGGTCAATCCCTCCATCTTTAGCTTCATTGAAAAGCCTTGAAGTGCTGGATCTTTCCCTCAACAATTTAAGAGGAGAGATTCCGCTCGATCTCCAGAACATTAGCGCTCTCCAGTATCTGAATCTTTCCTTCAATCACCTAGAAGGCCAGGTGCCAAGGGAAGGTATCTTTTCAAATGCAAGCAACGTATCATTAGTGGGAAATACTATGCTTTGCGGAGGTGTGTTGGATTTCCATCTCCCGAAATGCCCAACTTATAAGGTTGTCCAGCGCCATGGTATTAGTTCTCAGAGAATGAGAATCTCACTGACAGTTATTTCTGTTTTAGTGGGTCTTGTCTCAATGCTAAGCCTTCTACTGATCTTGAAGGCGAGAATGTGGAAGAAGAAGCCTCCGTTTGAATATCCAATATTGCCCACCTTTATGAGGGTCTCTTACAGAGACCTGAGCAGAGCAACTGACGGATTCTCTTCCGATTGTTTAATTGGGTCTGGCAGCTTTGGCGTCGTCTACAAAGGTAAACTAAATGAAACCGACCCACCAGTAGCTATCAAAGTGCTGAATCTAAAGCAAAGGAAGGCTTACAAGAGCTTGGCGGCGGAATGCAATGCACTGAGAAGCATTAGACATCGGAATCTCGTCAGCGTTGTGTCCTTCTGCTCCAGTTTGGACAACAACGGCAACGAATTCAGAGCTCTGGTATTCGAGTACATGCCGAATGGGAGCTTGGAGAAGTGGTTGCACCCCATGGATGGTTCACTGAGTTTAAGCCTCATTCAAAGACTAAACATCGCGATAGACGTAGCATCCGCGCTACACTATCTTCACGACCTATGTGAAACCTCGATAGTTCATTGTGACTTGAAACCAAGCAATGTGCTGCTCGATGAATCCATGGTTGCTCATTTGTGTGATTTTGGCATTGCAAGGATACTTTCCGCCGAGGACACATCCTACTTATCTAGCACCATTGGCATCAAAGGAACAATTGGGTATACCCCTCCAGGTTAGCATAAACCCTAAACATGATTTCCATCTTCAAAGTGCACGGTTACTGTGATACTTACTGTATGTGGTTACCATGGCAGAGTATGGAATGGGCAGCGTAGCTTCGAAAGAAGGCGATGTCTACAGCTTCGGTATCCTACTACTGGAAATGTTCTCTGGGAAAAGACCTACTGACCAAATGTTCGGCGAAGGCCGTAATCTCCGAGAATTTGTGATGGCGGGGCTGCCAGATCTGATATCCGTCGTATTGGATCCGCTGCTTTTACCCGGTGGTGGAGACGGAATTGAACCCACGGAGGGAGAAGGCAGCAGCAATGAGATCACCGAAGCAGCCGCAGTGCGGCAAAGAGACAGTAACTTGGCAGACGAGAGGCTCATGAGGTCGAGTCAATACCGCAATTGCATGATTTCAGCGGTGGAAATCGGAATAGCTTGCTCGATGGAGTCGCCGGCGGAGCGGATGAAGACGGCGGAAGTTTCCCTGAAGCTGCAATCCATCAGAGAAGTTTTTCTGGCGAGCACCGTCCGTCGATCGAGAGCAAGGCCAGCTCTGGATCCAGCGTAAACAGGGAAGCTCCCGCCTGCTCGCTTCTTGTATGTACAAGGTCAAGGACGATTCTTCATTCCAAAAATCATACTCTTCTAATCGCCCCGTCTCGATGGTTTTATATAAAAACCGATTGGCGGCAGTTCTGAATATCACCGTCTCTCAGCAACCCGATTGCGACGCATTCCTGCTCTTCCCGCCGAAAGAAGCGAAGGGTGACCGGAATCAAATGACTGAAAGGGTGGAGTCGACGTTGAATCAGGTTAACTGGGAATTCCACTCAGGTTTCAGAATCAGGTTCGGGGCAGCTCAGATTGCAGGCCGAGTAACTCACGGGCCAAAAAGACGACCTCGAACACGTCATCGGCAAGTTCCCTGTGCTGTTTTTTTTTATCACATCGGCGACCGATTGTCGGGGATCATGGCGGCGACTTTGGAACAGATTCCTTATCACCCTGGCGGCTAAAGCTGCATTGACTTTATTAAGGGTTAATAGCTGCATTGACTTTCTTTAAGGGTTAAGAGCTGCATTGACTAAATATAATTCTCTTTTTTACACATTATTGAAGAATATACAGCAACGTCACAACAAAAAGAAATTACATAGGAGAAACATTATTAATCTGCCACTGGCTGTCCGACCACCTGAATATATACCTGAGCACCGTAGAAAACTTCATCAGCCTTTGTGATCACAAACGGAAAGTGAACCTGCTTTCCACTTTCTATGTGAGCCAAGAAAAAGTCTGTAAAGAACAATGTCGAGTAATGCTATCCTACTCCTACTTCTCGCCACAATCTACTATTCCTTCTTCCTTTTCTCCCCGTCAATCGACTTCCTGTTGCCTGCCAATGCTGCTAGTACAAACGAAACTGACCGACTTGCGCTACTTGAATTCAGAAAAGCCGTAACCAGCGACCCGAATGGAGTTTTGCAGTCCTGGAATGATTCAGTCCATTTCTGCAACTGGGTCGGCGTTTTCTGCAACGACAAGCAACGAGTCACATCTCTAGCCATGTCTCAGCAGGACCTGGTGGGCACTCTGTCTCCACACATTGGCAACCTCACCTTCCTTCAGGCTATCAGCCTGGATAAGAACAGTTTCCAGGGTGAGATCCCGGCGGAAATTGGCAACCTGCTTCACCTCCAGCACCTAAATATCAGCAGGAATTTCCTCACCGGAGAAATTCCTGACAACCTGACCCGGTGCTCCGAGCTCAGGATCATTCAACTGCAGATCAATCACTTACAGGGGAGGATTCCTTGGGAGATTGGGTCACTGTCCAAGCTTGTGTCCATAAGGATTCAGCAGAATAATTTGACCGGGGAAATTCCGCCTTCGGTTGGAAACCTGTCGAACCTGATCGACTTCGGAGCTTCTTTTCTCAACTTGGTGGGAACAATTCCGGAGAGTTTAGGCAACCTGCGCAGCTTGCAAAACATCTCTCTCGCCAATAACCAACTGACCGGTGCGATTCCTCGATCCTTCTTCAATAGTACTTCAGTTGGAATCATCGCCATTCCTTGGAATCATTTCACAGGTAGTTTGCCGGAGGATATAGGCTTCACGCTACCGAATATCAGGAAGTTCGCTATTTCCAAGAACGAGTTTGTGGGGTCCATCCCAGAATCGTTCTGCAATGTCACGGGGCTAGAGATGTTGGACATGAACAAGAATGGTTTCACGGGACGGATTCCCAATTGTCTCGGGAATTTGCCCAGATTCAACTGGCTATCGGTGGGAGACAATCGTCTCGGCAATTATTCGTCAGCGGACTTGGAGTTCTTGACTGGGTTGCAGAACTGTACCCAACTGCAATGGTTTGTCATAAGTATTAACAACTTTGGCGGCTCTTTACCTAGCTCCATAGCTAACCTTTCAGCCCAGCTCACTACAATTGCCCTTTCGCAGAATCAGTTCACAGGACAGATCCCTTCAGACTTGGAGAAATTCGTCAACTTGAATTACCTCGACCTGTCTTATAACTTCTTTCGAGGTATCATTCCCCCTTCCTTCGACAAGTTGCTGAATTTGGAAAGTTTGCTCTTGTTAGTAAATCAGCTATCGGGACCAATTCCAATCACCATTGGAAACCTGACTCAATTGTCAGTGCTCGATGTCTCAAACAACGGACTAGAAGGCATTCTTCCCTCGGGTATCAAATCTTGTGTGCAATTGAACTATTTGGACGTTTCCCGGAATTCTCTTGTCGGCATTATCCCTAGCGAAGTCTTCACTCTTCCTTCCTTGACTAAACTATTGAACCTGTCGAGCAACATGTTCATCGGCAACCTGCCTCCAGAAATCGGGAAGCTAGAATCCCTGAACACCTTGGATGTTTCTCATAATCTCCTGATGGGGCCGATTCCGAACACCATCGGGAGTTGCAAGAATTTGGAGTATCTCTGCTTGCAAGGGAATTCCTTCAATGGTTCCATCCCTCCTTCTTTAGCTTCCTTGAAAGGACTCCAACATCTGGATCTTTCCCTCAACAAATTACAGAGCGAGATTACAAAGGATCTTCAGAACATTAAAGTTCTCCAGTATCTAAATCTTTCCTTCAATCACCTTGAAGGCCAAGTGCCAAAAGAAGGCATCTTTTCCAATGCAAGCGGGCTATCCCTAGCAGGAAATGGTATGCTCTGTGGTGGTGTAGTGGATCTACATCTCCCAACGTGCCCAACCAGTAAGGGTATTGAACATCATGGTACCAAATCGCGTAGAATTGCCTTGATATTTATTGTTCCTTTTGTGGGTCTATCATTCCTTTCATTGTTAGCATATCTATTGATCTTCAAGACGAGAAGGTCGAAGAAGCCGGCTGAAGAATATCCAATACTACCTAGTTTTATCAGGGTGTCTTACAGAGACCTCTACACAGCAACTGATGGGTTCTCGCCAAGTTGTTTAGTTGGGTCCGGCAGTTTTGGCGATGTCTATAAAGGTGAACTAAATGACACTGAAGCACCAGTAGCTATCAAAGTGCTGAAGCTAGAAAAAAGGAAGGCTTACAAGAGCTTGGCCGCAGAATGCAATGCACTGAGGAGCATTAGGCACCGGAATCTCGTCAAGGTTCTATCCTTCTGTTCCAGTGTGGACAACAATGGCGATGAATTCAGAGCTCTGGTCTTTGAGTACATGCCCAATGGGAACTTGAAGAACTGGTTGCACGCCACAGATGGTCCCCGTAATCTAACTCTGGTTCAAAGGCTCAATATTGCGATAGATGTAGCATCCGCGCTACACTATCTTCATGACCTCTGCGAAACTCCAATCGTTCATTGTGATTTGAAACCAAGCAATGTGCTTCTCGATGAATCCATGGCTGCTCATCTGAGTGATTTCGGCATAGCAAGGATCCTTTCGGCCGAGGAAGATACCGCCTTATCTAGCACAATTGGCATCAAAGGAACGATCGGTTACACTCCACCAGGTTATAACATAAACCCTACACACGATTTCCATCTTCGTAGATCTAATCGTTATTGAAATCAAATGCACTTACAATTACTGTGTTATATGGCAGAGTATGGGATGGGCAGCTTAGTGGCAAAAGAAGGCGATGTCTTCAGCTTCGGAATCCTCCTCCTGGAACTGTTTTCCGGCAAAAGACCCACCGACCAAATGTTCGGAGACGGCCGGAATCTCCGAGATTTTGTGTGTGCAGCGCTTCCGGATACGATATCCGTGGTACTGGACCCGATGCTCTTCACCGGTGGAGACATAATTGACTCGGCGGAGGAAAACGGCAGCGGCAATGAGATCACCGAATCAGTCATTCTCCACCACGGAGCGAGTAACTTGAGGGAGGAGAGATCCACGAGGTCGAGCCCATACCGTAATTGCATGATTTCGGTGGTGGAAATCGGAATAGCTTGCTCACGAGAGTCGCCGGCGGAGCGGATGAAGACGGCGGACATTTCACAGAAGCTGCATTCCATCAGGGATGCTTTTCTGGCCAGCACCGCCCCTCGTCCACCCAGAGAATCGCCAGGCCGGGCTTGATCCAGGAATCCGCCCAGATGGGCCAACTAGTTCTGGGCTTTATTTTTACTTATGCAATAGTGCCTGTCAAATGGGCCTGGCAAAAGAATAAGGAAAAGGGGGGACAAAAAAAATGAGTTCTATTAAGGGGTCATTTGGATGCAGGTTTTTTTTTTTTTTTCCAAGGCAAGCCCAGAGGGCATGGGACAAAGACTCGACTCAGGTACAAGTAGATTCCAAAAAAGGACGGTAATCCGTAAGCAAGCGGATTCCCGATGAAAGAGCCTGATTAGCCACTACATGGGCAGCTCTGTTGAAGCTCCGAGGAGCAAAAAGACACGATACTGACTCAAAAAAGGAGAAAAAGGAGTGAACTTCCTCCAAGACGGCCCCTGCTCGAGAGTGAGAAGCATTCTTTGCCATAGCGTGCTTGATAACCAGTTGTGCGTCTCCACAAAATGCAACCACCAAAAAATTATGTGTTAAGCACCATCTCATAGCGTCTCTAAGAGCTAGAAGCTCGGAAATGTAAGAATCCGAGATTCCTTCATAATATTTAGGGTTAATACCCTAGTTTGGCCTGAAGTTTAGCGTGAATGACAGTTCTGGCCCCATTTTTCAAATAAGACATTTACGACCTACTTTTGAAATCATTGGACACATTTGGCCCGAAACTTGTGTTGACCGTTAATATTAACGGTCAAACACTTATTCCGTTAGTGACTCATCAAAGAACTACTGACGTGGCTTATACATGGTGCCATGTCATTAAATAAAATATTTTCTAATTCAATTAATAAAAAAATAAAAATAATCCCAAAACCCCCAACTCCTACGGCCCTACCCTCATCTCTTCCTCTCGCCGCCTTCTTCCCACTGATTCAATCCCTTCTTCCGCCGAGACCCACCTCTACCTCCCCAGACTAGACGAAGAGAAGAGGAAGCTGTCGGTCTTGGTGTACTTCCACGCCGGCGCGTTCAAGGGTAAGACGCCGTCGGGGTGGAACGAGCGGCTGCGGAAGAAGATCTGCGGGGGCAGGGCTTTTGACTGGGACTAGTTCCTTCTTCCTCTTCTTCGTCCTCGACATGCGCTTCGGCGGCGAGGGATTTTCAACGGGCGGTGCCCAAATCGACTCTCCCTCAGCCGAACGAACTGGTGGCTGTTCGTCTTCTCCCTCACACCGTTCTGGAGGAAATGCTAAATCCGCACTTCAACCACACCTAGATTCGTGGTCGGCGATAAGAAATGGGTTGGCGGTTTAAGACGGCAACGAGTTCCGGGTGGAAGAAGGTTCGGGAGGAAGAGGAGTGGGAGTGGCGGTGGTCGTCGTTAGATTCGGGCCGGCTTACCTCTGGCTGTTTCTTTGGCGACAACAGAAGAAGATTAGGGATCGTGAAGAGATTGAAGACAATGGCGGGGTTAATTTTTGGTGATGCTGCGGTGGGTCGACGTTTGGTAATAGGTTTTGTGTATTGATTGATAAGAACAACTTTTTGAAATTGAATTTTGAGAATCAGATATGAAATTGGAAGATGATATAGAGAAGCCAGAGGGAAGAGGAAAGAAGGGGACTGGACAGAGACTCCCCTTTTTATTTTTAATTTTTAAGTTTTCAATTTTTAAATCAAATGGACTAGTCTAGTCAGCAGCTAATGCTGAGTCATTAACGGGAAAAATGGTTGACCGTCAATTGTGACGGTCAAACAGTCTCATAGGCCAAATTTGTCCAATAGTTTGAAAAGTAGGTCACAAATGTCTTATTGGAAAAGTCGGGCCAGAACTGTCAATAACGCTAAACTTCGGGCCAAATTATGGTATTAACCCTAATATTTACCAAAAGCAAAGGATAACGTACCGTCTCTCGAGAATCCCGCAAATCCGATAGAGCCTCCTTGGTTTTTCTTCATGGCTCCGTCAAATCTCACAAGGATACCGTTATAAGGGCATATGACATCTGGATGACTCCTTTGAGGTCCTGTTTGATTAATAGGGTTCGCCGATGGTCTCTGAACACCTGTGGGTTGCCGAGCTTTCTGTCCCTCCGCCGTTCGCCATTCCTCTATATGCGCTGTTAGTTGTCGGAACAAAACTCGAGCTTGAAGTAATACTAAGGCATAAGTAGCTTTGCATCTACCTTTCCAAATTCGCCAGAATAGGAAAACCGTATCGGCAATCTCGATCTTGGAGGTGTGAGTGGCGCAGAATAGATTTTTCCAAGCCAGGTCTGGTTGAAAGGATCGCATTGAGTTTCTACGATGTTCCAATCCAACCATAATCCATAACTCTTTTGCAATCCTACATTCAAAAAAGCAATGATTAATGTCCTCAGTTGGCTCACAACACACTGGACACTCGCTAGACGTAGTCAATTTTTGAATTTGCAATATTTTGCGAACAGGGAGGAACCCCCGAACTATTCTCCAAAGGAAGAATTTCAGTTTTGGTGGAACTGGTATACTCCATAATGATTTCCAAAATTTTGTGTCCAAGTAGTCTGGTATACTATTATGAAATGGGTTAATTTGATTTGTTAAGAGGTGGTACCCCGATTTCACTGTATATTGACCAGATTTATCATAGTGCCAGATGAGTTTATCTTCCCTCGGATATGAGGGAAGAGGTATGGACAAGATTAGTTCGGCAGAAGCTGAGTAGAATAAAGATCGAATCTTGTTAGAGTTCCAAGTAAACGTTATTGGATCGATAAGATAGGCAACTACTGGTCCATCTAAGGTCATACCTGTCTTCAAGATTGGGTAGGAGGGTGGATCTGAAGGTATCCACGGATCTTGTAGAATGTATATTGAGGACCCTGATCCCGCTTGCCATCGCAGACCTTTTTTAAGGAGGTTCTTCCCTTCAAGAATACCTTGCCAAGTCCAAGAAGGGCGGGATCCAGCTCTCGCATTTAGGAAGTGGTCATTAGGGTGATACCGGGCTTTATATATTTTTGCCAAAGTATTATCAGGATCTATTAGTAGCTTCCAGGCTTGTTTGGCTAACATGGCTATGTTAAATCGATAGAAGTCTCTGAATCCCAGACCTCCCTCAAATTTACTATTGCATACTTCAGGCCATGAAAGCCAATGCATTCCTTTGTCTTTGTCTTGGTCCGCCCTTTGGATGCAGGTTTTGGGTGTGGGATTTGGGCACAATCCTACATAGTGTGGGATTTTAATTAAAATCACTTATTTGGAAAGGCTAAAAAAAATGAGAGATTTTAATCATGAGAGATTTCGAAAACCTACAAGTGTAGGATTTGAAAATAGCTGATGGGGATCAGCTATTTCAAAATCCCTCACTATTCTATATTTTCTTCCAACTATTACCCCTTCCTACCCGCTTCTTATATCGTCACCACACCGCCGCCGACCTTCTTCCTCAACTCCTCCGGCCACAACTCTTCTTCCTCTAAGCCGACCGGCAAACCCAGAACCCAAGAAGATCCCCACTGCAATCAACACCCAGGGCGAATCCGAGTTTGACTACCCGGAATTCCGCTCCCCGGTCGCATGGCCCACCCCTTCCGACTCCCTCGCCGCGACGGCTTCCTCCTCGTCCGCGGTGGCTGACCCCGTTGTCGTTGACCACCGCGGCGCAGCGACTGCAGCAGCATCCTCGTCGTCGTCCGATCACCACCATTCCGATTCCCAAGCTGCGTCCCCTGTTGGATTTTGATTTTGTGACAGCCACAGCGGCAGAGGCATAAAAATGGCAACGAAGGAGAAGCATAAGAATGGCAGGGATTTTTTTGTAATTATGATTATCACTTACAAATACCTCATTCACATCCAAACAAGAAATTTTAATCAAATAACTCATTTAAATTTCCTGGTTTTTTAAACGAGAGATTTGGGACCAAATCCCTCATAAATCCCTCCTATTAAAATCCTGCATCCAAATGACCCCTAAACGGTAAAAATTCAGAAAACTTGAAACCAGTCCGTCCGCCGAAAGGGTTCGTTCCGTCGTGTTGTACTTCTTCCTTCGGTACCGGTCGTTCTCAAAGTCTTACCTTTTCTTCCTTTCCCTTGTTGGTCCGAGCGCGCGCCAACTCGCAGGAACTGAGGGGTTTAAGCTCACTGCTAAACCCTACTTTCAGCCAGCGTTCTTCTTCCTCTCCGAAACTCCCCTTCCAGCGCGGAACAATGAGCTTCGCCGCCTGCAAGATGATGCACTTGCCGACCGGCATTGAATGCTGCGACGCCGGCTTCATCACGCATTGCCGCGCCGACTTCGTCCCTCCAATTGCTCCAATGCAGACCGACGAACTCGAATCCGAGTGGCCTTCCAATCGAAGCACTGGCCCAATCTCTAACCTCGTCGTCACTGCGGGCAATGTCCTGGAGCTCTATGTAGTTAGGGTTCAGCAGGAAGGCAGCAGGGAGTCGAGAAATTCAGGCGAATCGAAGCGCGGTGGGCTGGTCGATGGCGTCTCTGGCGCTTCGCTTGAGCTTGTGTGCCACTACAGGTGCTGTAGCTATAGATTTATTGCCGCAGTGTTTTTTCTCTCTCTCTCTTGGTTATGGTGAATTCAAGTATCCGTTTCTGTTATAGGTTGCACGGTAATGTTGAATCAATGGCGGTACTGCCTTCAGATGGAGGCGATAGTTCCAGGAGGAGGGATGCAATTATCTTGGCGTTCAAAGATGCCAAGATTTCGGTGCTGGAGTTTGATGATTCTATGCATGCACTGCGTACTAGGTACAGTTTATGCTGTGAAGTGGGATATTGTAAAGCTTTTAATAATGATTATCTGAACATAACCACCTCCTTTTTGCGTCATCACTTTATTTTTGTTGTTAATTCCAACGGATGCTGATTCCTTTTCAGCTCTATGCACTGTTTTGAAGGTCCAGAATGGTGCCATCTGAAAAGAGGCCGAGAGTGTTTCGCGGCAGGGCCGTTAATAAAAGTTCATCCAAGAGGCAGATGCGGTGCTGTTCTTGTTTATGATTTGCAGATGATAATACTGACTGCTGCTCAGGTCAATACGATATGTTCACGTAGTTGAAAAATTATTACTGTACAAAAAACTGCAATGTGACTTCTGATTACAATGATGCAACTTTTCTTGGGGTTTGTAAAATATAGGTCGGTTCTGGTTTGATTGGAGATGATGATGCCCCTGGATCTGGTGGTGCAATATCTGCTCGCGTCAAATCATCATACATTTTAAATCTTCGAGACTTGGATGTGAAGCATGTAAAAGACTTTGTATTTATAAATGGTGAGTCTTTCTAGCTAGCCTCGGCTTTCTGATTGTCTTGATAGAAAATGGGACAGCTAGTATATGATGATGTGTCCTTAACTTGTTGATGTTGCGTGAAAGTTTCACCTGAAGTTAGGTGCAAAAATGTAAGCCTTGCCATATATGCAAGACAAGATCTGTACTTTTCTCGTGACGTGATGACATGTAGATCCTAGTTGCTTCTTCTCTACATCATAGTTACGTAGCGAAAAAAGAATGATATGATTGTGGTTGATGACCTTCAGATAGCCTGATGATCAAAAGATGAAGAAATCTAGTGACACAAGGATGATCAAACTAAATTTGAGATTATAGTTCACATCGTTATTTTCATGTACATCTGTTGGTTGCTGCTTCTTATGTTCTTTGGTCCTGATGTTTTGTGTCTCACATGCTTCATGTGTAGATTATATGGAGCCTGCAGTGGTCATCCTTCATGAGCGCGAACTTACTTGGGCTGGTCGCCTGTCATGGAAGCATCACACTTGCATGATATCTGCTTTTAGCATTAGCACGTCACTGAAGCCTCCTACCCTGATATTTTCATCTCTGGTATGCTCTGAATAAAGTGTAACAGTTGCATGGTATCTGCTTTTAGCATTAGCACAATGCCCAACCCGTCTACCCGATATTTTAGTCCATGATATGGTCCAAATGAAGCATCAACCTTGCATGATATCTTCTTTTAAGATTAGCTCCACATTGAGGCTGCCTACCCTGATATATTCATCTGTGATATGCTCTGAAACTAATCTAGCATAAATGGAGGATAAGATTCCAGGACATGATAAATTATTTTATACAGAGTTTGGTATGTGTGTAACTTCCAATGAAATATTATCTTAAGAAGGCTTGTAAAATTTTCACTTGGATAATTAAATTAATGGGTAGCTAGGAGTAGGAAGAAATTTTTTTTATCTGTCACATGACTGCAATTTGCACTTAGGTCCGGCACTTTATGCTTTGAGCTGAAATTATTCTCATTCAAATAAGGGATGTTATGAAAGATACTGAACATTTGAGAATGGGGACAGTGCTATGGAAGGGGATTAGTTAAACCTTTGAATGAGTCATGCCATTTTCGCGGTCCAGTCTTACAATTGGCTATTGTTTTTTGTTTTTTCCCTTAGAATCTTCCGCATGATGCGTACAAGCTACTTGCCGTTCCGTTGCCAATTGGAGGTGTTCTTGTCATTTGCACAAATTCCATACATTATTACAGTCAGGTGAATTTTGCTTTCATTTGACATTAAAAAGTCATGATTGTGGAATTTTTGCTGATGTGAATTATCTTTACAGTCAGCCTCTTGCGCGTTGGCTTTGAACCATTATGCAGTTCCTATAGACAGCAGGTCTCAGATGTTCCTCCCTCCTCTCTTTCTGTTCGAACTTCCACATTTTAAATTTATGATTGAATACAAAGGCTAAGGTTTGCCTTTTCTGAGGTTTGTTTCTCTTGGTCTACTCCTTTGATTCATGTTCATACTAAACTGAGGAGCTTCATTGCTAATTTGCTTTGCCAGTCAAGAGCTACCGAGAGCAAGTTTTGATGTTGAACTTGATGCTGCCAATGCATCTTGGTTACTAAATGATGTGGCCTTACTGTCAACAAAAACTGGGGAACTTCTATTGCTAACCCTCGTTTATGATGGAAGGTAATTACTTCCACTTTCTGATAGGGTGTACGTTTCTGGATAAACTTGTTGTATGACAAGGAACAGTACAAAATGGGTTTCCTGTGAACTTAACTCTTTTGACTTCTGTCCTTGGCAAAAAAGGTTTCACATACTCTGACTATCCATGCAATCAGACTTGTCCTCTTTGACCCTGCAAAAGAAAATCAAAATGCAAAAGCTTTTGTCTAGTCGACTTATGTTACTGTTGTTTGTTTTCTTGCAGGGTTGTGCAGAGGCTTGATCTTTCAAAGTCTAAAGCATCAGTTCTTACTTCGGTGTGCTCGCCTTTCATTCATGATACTCAATTAACTTTGTGTTTTGACAGCTTTTTTCTCTACTTGTTCCTTGTTGCCAGTTGTAGTGCTATGTTTTGAGAAGTTTTCTGAAACTGTGATAGGGAATTGCCATGATTGGTAAATCATTTTTCTTTCTGGGGAGCCGTTTGGGAGACAGTTTGCTTGTGCAATTTACTAGCGGATCAGTATCTACCATTTCTCCTGGCTTGAAAGAAGAGGTAATGTTGTGTGATCAACAATTTCCAGTAGTTTCAAGATTTCGTTGTCTCTTCCTGTTTACTATTAAGTTAAGATCAGTAAGGTTGAATGCCATATGCTTCCCTGCATTTCAATAGGTTGGTGACATCGATGACATTCACGCAGCTAAGAGGTTGAAGAGAGTGTCATCTGATGCTTTACAAGATGTGATGAGTGGAGAGGAGCTTTCTTTATATGGCTCAGCTTCAAACAATACCGAGTCAGCACAGGTTATAAAAGCTTTAGTCTTTATCTTTTTATTCTTCATGAAGTCTGGATAAAGTAAGATTAAGCTACGAACTCCATTTTATGGAGAGGCTAGCTCGGTTACTGAGATTTCCCCCCTAGTTTTTCTCATTGCAACAACTTGAGAGATATATTGTCTTCTATAAGTTATGTTTTGGAGCTCTACTTATGGATTATTACTAATGCCAATTTTGGGGTTCACATTGTTTTTCTGTGTAATAATGCAGAAGACGTTCTCATTTGCAGTGAGAGATTCATTGACCAATGTTGGCCCTTTAAAGGACTTCTCCTATGGTTTAAGGATCAACGCTGATGCGAATGCCACAGGAAGTGCAAAACAGAGCAACTATGAGTTGGTTAGTACTTTTCAACCTAAAGGAAAAATTAAATCAAAGGCAAAGGATGGTTGGTTTGAACTGCATACAGCCATTAATTCAGAAATAGTTGCAATCTCATCTGTAATCCATTATGGTTTTAACATGCTTGCTAGTCATTGCATGTTTTTATTTTGTGGTTTCTTGCATTAATTTCTAAAATATCTCCCACTCTAGCAAAAACTCAGACGGACATTCTCTTGAGATGTTGCAAGAGAATTATGCTTCAAGCAGTGAGTGATTTCTCTATTGAATTTTTAATTTTAGTTTCTATTGGTGTACTTCTCTTAGGTCTCTTGTTCAGGTCATGGTAAAAATGGTGCTCTATCTGTTCTTCGGCAGTCGATTCGTCCAGAAACGATTACAGAGGTTTGAATATAAATTCTTGTCTCACGATATGGAGGAGCAAAGCTCATTACATATCTATTATTATCTTATCTTGAAGGCACTCAGATAACTTCCGATGCAGGTTGAGCTACCTGGTTGTAAAGGGATCTGGACTGTCTACCATAAGAATTCTCGTGGTCATAATGCTGATTCCTCCAAAATGGCAGCCTTCGATGATGAATATCATGCATATTTGATTATAAGTATGGAGGCGCGGACGATGGTAAGCTCTTCATCCTTGCTTCAGAGGAAACTTAAAATTTATGTTTGTCTTCTCTTTATGCATCATCAACCTCAAAGTATATTTGCTTCCATGGGTCTTGGTCTGGTATTTGGTATTTGCCTCTGTATTTTGGTCTGCATTGGATAAATATACTCTGGACTCTAGTTTACTAAGCACACAAATCCTGATCTGAAACATAAAGTTTTGATAATGGATGGTGCTTCCATGAATGTTTATCACATTTCATGACTGATTAGCTCCCCCCCGTGTAAACTCTTATTTGTGGAACATGGCTAGCTGCAGCATGCAGGCATCGTTCAGTCTCGAATTATCTATAAGCTAATACTGTGAATTGGGCTTCTGCTACTTATGGATAAGTTTAGTCGATATCAGGCAGTTTGTCTGTTTTATAGCCGTTGGTCTTTGTTTCATGATATGCAGGTTCTTGAGACTGGTGATCTTTTGACAGAGGTCACTGAAAGTGTTGACTACTTTGTCCAAGGAAGGACAATAGCTGCAGGGAATTTGTTTGGCAGGTTTGAATGTCTGATTTATTAGGTGGTTGTTGTTGTGACATTTAATGAATATTTCAGATTGTTCTTTATAATGAAATTTGTTTGGTTAATCCTGACAAGTTGATGGATGTTTCCTTTTAATAATTTTGTACGATTGAGTCATATTGTTTCTCCTTTGCAGGCGTCGAGTTATCCAGGTCTATGAGCGTGGTGCGCGAATTCTGGATGGTTCCTTTATGACTCAAGATTTGAGCATTGGTGCTCCTAACTCTGAATCTGGTCCTGCCACTGAGACTTGTACTGTAATGTCTGTCTCCATTGCTGATCCATATGTACTGATAAAAATGACTGATGGGAGCATTAGACTTCTTGTTGGAGGTATGCTGTTTCATCTACAATGGTAAATTATATGACTAGTCGATTTTGTGCAGCCTTATCCCCATGATGTTATAGTGGCAGTATGGAAGTAGCTATGCATGAAAAAAATGCTGAGATAATGGGATTCGTACTAATCTGCCATGTTATGGAAAAAGTAAAACACTAATATAACTTCAGCAAGGTCATTGTTTATTGGTAACCTTCGAGTAGACTGATGGCAGGGACATCGAGTTGTGCCAATAATCTGTTTCCTGATATTGTTAATCACAAAATTTTGTGATTATCTTGTTTACTGCCTGCTCTTGTCATTTGCTCACTCTTTCGGTGTATCATAAATCTAAACATACTTCAATTGGAACTACAGATACTGCTACTTGTACTGTGTCCATGAGAACTCCACCTGCCTTTCAAAGCTCAAAGAACACAGTATCTGCATGCACCCTGTATCATGATAATGGCCCAGAGCCATGGATCAGAAAGGCAAGCACCGACGCGTGGCTTTCTACAGGAATTTCTGAGCCCATTGATGGTGCTGATGGTGGGACGCATGATCATGGCGACATATATTGCATTGTTTGCTACGAGACTGGTGCACTGGAAATATTTGATGTACCGAATTTCGCTTCTGTGTTTTATGTGGATAAATTTGTATCTGGAAAAAGCCACCTTGTTGATAGCAACGTGCAAGAACCAAGCAATGATCCTCAGGAAGCAGCACATAGTAGTTCTGGTTCCGAAGCTGCCCTCGGTGACAAAGAGAGTAACCATAACCTAAGAGTTGTGGAGTTGGCTATGAACAGATGGTCTGGGCACCACAGTCGACCTTTTCTTTTTGGTATATTGACTGATGGAACAATACTTTGTTATCATGCTTACCTGTTTGAAGGTCCAGATAGTACCTCAAAGACTGAACCTCCTTCACAAAGTTATGCTTCGAGGCTTAGAAATTTGAGATTTGCACGAACACCATTGGATACTTATATGAGAGAGGAAACATCAAGTGGAAACATCAGCCAACGGATGACTATTTTCACAAATATTAGTGGTCATCAAGGATTTTTCCTATCAGGGTCAAGACCAGCTTGGTTTATGGTGTTTAGAGAGCGTTTGCGTATTCATCCACAGGTATGACTCTAGGAAAGATGGTTCTGTTTGCTGCATGACTAATGGTGCTACTTCTTTCTGAGACAATACTTTAATTTATTTATGGACAATGGAATTGAAGACTGTTTTGTCTTTTTTGCTAGCTATGTGATGGATCTATTGTCGCCTTCACTGTTCTTCACAACGTCAACTGCAACCATGGCTTCATCTATGTCACATCTCAGGTTTTGTTTTCGCACATCTACTGGTTGACTGATGCTGTCTATTTATTTTCTTTGTATTCGGTATTCTTGAAAATAAACTCTTCTTGCTTCAATTGGGCAGGGAATATTGAAAATTTGCCAACTACCATCTGGCTGCAACTATGATAATTATTGGCCAGTGCAAAAGGTATGGTCTATTCACTTTTCTTGTGCCAACTCTATTACTTAAGTCCACGTGTTTCAAGATACGTTCATTATGTGCTCATTGAAATTCTCTCCTCGCTAGGTACCACTAAGAGGAACTCCTCATCAGGTGACTTATTTTGCAGAGAAGAACTTGTACCCTCTTATAGTTTCTATTCCTGTAAGTATCTACTTTGTCTGTACTTTCTTGGCTCACGCTTTTATCTGTGACAACATACTCTAATTTTCTGCTAGATAACCTAATGTGATAAACTCAGTTCAAATAGCTGCTCGCTTGTTAACCAAATTTCTTGAACCCTGGTCTTTTGCGCTCCTATACGACTTATGGTGACCATGGAGCTGAAGTAAGAGCTGAAGAATAGTGATGCATCATATGTATTGACCAGAGATGTTCTGAAGTATCAATCAACCTCTGTTCTTTTTTCAGGTTCAAAAGCCCCTCAATCAAGTTCTTTCTTCACTGGTTGATCAAGAAGGCAACCACCAAATTGAGAGTCAGAACGCTACTCCCGATGAACTTCATCGAACTTACACTGTAGAAGAATATGAGGTGCGGATCCTGGAACCAGAGAAATCTGGTGGCCCTTGGCAAACGAAGGCTACAATTCCAATGCAGAGTTCAGAAAATGCACTCACCGTGCGAATGGTTACACTATTTGTAAGTTACCCGTTTGAATTCTAAATTGCTGCTACATGTTAGAGTGTAGAAGCTTTTCATGAGGTCTGTAGTGGATTGAGCTATTTTACGTCTTCATGTTCCAATTACTCGAACAAGGTTGTCTCTGACCATCTGAATTTTCAGAATACAACCACTAAGGAGAATGAAACACTTTTGGCCATTGGGACGGCATATGTACAAGGGGAGGATGTTGCTGCAAGAGGCCGTGTGCTTCTGTTTTCTCTTGGGAAGAACACAGATAACTCTCAGGTTTTGGTTCTTTTGGCCCTTTATCTTCAGATTTTCTACCTCTATAAATCCAGACGTAAAATTCTCAGTGAACCTTGACTTTCGGAAACCATAATCAATTTGATGCCTTCCTTTGACAGGTTTCTGAAGTTTATTCCAAGGAATTGAAGGGAGCAATATCCGCTTTAGCCTCACTGCAAGGGCACTTGTTAATAGCTTCCGGACCTAAGATTATTTTGCACAAATGGACTGGTACAGACTTGAATGGGGTTGCCTTTTTTGATGCTCCGCCATTATATGTCGTCAGCTTAAATATTGTAAGTGGTGGCTTGGCATGTCCTCATTCTCTCTTATTTCCATTCGTCTTTCAAGGATTACATTAGTGGAATCTGCTGCTGGGACTCTACTTTCCAGGTTGTGTTTGACACTGTATTTGTTTATGCCTATTTTAGGTCAAGAACTTTATCCTGTTGGGTGATATTCACAAAAGCATCTATTTCCTTAGTTGGAAGGAGCAAGGCGCACAACTTAGCTTACTAGCGAAGGACTTTAGTTCCCTTGATTGCTTTGCCACTGAGTTCTTAATCGATGGCAGTACGTTGAGTCTTGTGGTTTCAGATGCACAAAAGAATGTTCAGGTCAGCAACTTCTTTTCCTTCATCCTTGATTCATTGCTCAATGCCGTTAATGGGAAAAGTTAATCAAACGTGCTGTCACCTGGCCGTTTTAATGTCTTTATAGATATTCTACTATGCACCGAAATCACCGGATAGCTGGAAAGGACAGAAGCTGCTCTCGAGGGCTGAACTTCACATTGGGGCTCATGTGACCAAGTTCATGCGGTTGCAAATGCTTTCCACGGCATCTGATCAAGGCGGCGGTTCTGCTCCGGTGGTGGAGAAAACCAATCGCTTTGCCTTGCTGTTTGCCACGCTGGATGGAAGCATTGGTTGTATCGCACCTCTTGATGAGCGTACTTTCCGGCGGCTTCAGTCACTACAGGAAAAGCTGGTTGATGCCGTTCCCCATGTTGCTGGCTTAAACCCTAGATCCTTTCGGCAGTTCCATGCTGATGGGAAGGCCCACAGACCTGGCCCTGAAAGCATACTGGATTGCGAACTGCTCTCGCAGTAAGTTTTGTCCTTCCATTCATTCTCTGCAGCCCCACTGTTACTAAAATATCTCATATCCGGTCAATTCTACTTTTGCTGGAAAAAAACAACACACTCACTTCACTTCTACTAAACCTTGTTAAAAAGCTCACTCAGTTTTGACTTTTGAGGAAAACTGAAAACAAAGTCACCCGATTCCTCTGCTTAATTCACAAAGGAATATCTGTAATAGCACAACTACTCTTAGCTAACGACACCGGTTTCTGCATTGCAGTTACGAGATGCTCCCACTAGAGCAACAGCTTGACATCGCTCACCAAGTTAGAACAACCCGTGAGCAAGTACTGACAAACTTGAATGACCTCTCATTGGGAACAAGCTTCTTGTGAAACAACTGAAAAGGGGGGATCGTCTTCGCCAATGGCCTTTGCGAGTTGCTTCTGGGCTTCTGCGTAGGTGCTCGTTGTTTCCAGGTACTATCGGTCATAGGAGATTGAAGGACCTGCAATTGTTTGCACGTTCGAGCTTCAGAAGACCCTCTACCAACGCAAAAAGCAGAGCAGTTTCGGCCTTCGGATATCTGAAATCTGAAGGCTCAGCTGACTCATGTCTGCGGCTATACATTGCCCCTGACGAACATCTCCAGCACAAGGCTAGGGTGGTTTGGTTAGTTATTTAGAACGTGGGACTTTGTAACCTTAAATTGTACAGCCATCAAAGTACAATGTACAATGTACACTATTGTTGTCAAGTCGACTGGTTGAGTCTTTATGTTGTATCATTGGATATAAGTGCGTTTAATGCATCAGGTTTTACTAGGCAAAGGCAGTGAATTTTTTGTGGAAAAAAACCATCCCGAACATTTGGGCAAATCTCAAATCGACAAAGCATGATAGAGATCATTTGCATTATTAATTGGCAAGTTCCTGGAAGTCTAAGTTACTATTGCATACGAAAAAATAGATTTTTTACTGCTCATAAGAGGGTTGGTTATCATGGGGTATAACTATTGTAGGATCCTATTTCTACACATGTGAAGTACCAGGCGGCTGCACAAGCATCCCACATTAATTTGTGCAAGGTCATTCTTTTATTGAACTAATAAATGAATGTGAAGATGGATAATTAATCAAAATATTATATATATATATATATATATATATATATATATATACCTCATAACAAAATGGTCATTCTTTTATTGAACTAATAAATCAATGTGAAGGGGATAATTAATCAAAATGTCATATATATATATATATATATATATATATATATATATATATATATATATATACCTCGTAACAAAATGGTCATAAACGTTTATATAATGTAAACGTTTATATAATGTAATAAAAAGTTCACATATGACATATGTATCACAATAAAAAAAAACCATTTTGTGTCTTTCCATCCAAAATGCTTAAATTACTTACTATGCTAAGTGGTGGGTTTAAAGGTTAGTTATAATGCTCAAATTACTTGCTATAGATATATACGATAGGTTTAAGGGTTGGTTATTACTATTTGAAGTGAATCAGCAAAGTAACTAGACATTTTGGACAAAAATATGTGCGGAAATTAAACAAAATAGTCATAAACGTTTATATAATGTAACAAAAAGTTCACATACGTATCACAATATAACAAAATAGCCATTTCGTGTCTTTCCATTCAAAATGCTCCAATTACTTACTATGCATTAGCGAGTAGGTTTAAGGGTTGGTTATTACTTTTTTGAAGTGAGTTAGCAAACCAACTAGACATTTTGGACAAAAATGTGGACGCAAAATGAAGAAATAGTTGTTTTGTTATATTATGGTGTATATTTTTTTCTTACGTTTTAAATGTTTGTGATCATTTTGATATATTCTCAACCTATGTGACGATTTTGATAAGTACCATTGTCGAGAGTTAGTAGATAGATTGAGGTTGTTGGTAGTTGTTTAGCAAGTAAATTTAAGTGACGCTTGGTTCCACAGCTTAGGTGGGCCCAATAGATATCTTGCATCTTGAATCTTGATTGAGTTAGATAAAAAAATTTGAACTATTGAAATAATCATTGGTGGACCGCATGCGGCATGGTTTGAATGATTTCAACTGAGCCTTTGCTGGAATTAATTTTGTTGTCATATATGCTACAAAACAATTAGTTTGTTTGCTCAAATGTTTCTGTGTTTCTCTATGTTGTTTTATATATGGGGATAATACTTTTACCAGGGTTGAAGTTTAACCTTAAGGAATTACTATGGCCTAAAATATGAAAAAAATGAGAATTATGTCCAAATTTGAAGGAAGATTCATTTATTAGTAAATAAATTATTGATAATTTTTTCCGAGCAATAACAAAAGAGAAAAGTTAGAAAGAAACCTCTACTCTAGACCCATTGCAACACCAAGTGAAGTCAGCCTACAAAATCAAATGAAAGTAGCTTTAAAGGGACAACAAGAGGATTTCATGTGTCACTCCATGGGCAACATAGTTAGCCGTTGAAGGATCTACCCTAAATACTATAAATAGGTTATAAGACTCGACTAACTGACGATACTCCAGAAGAAGGAGCCCACCAAGCGAATCCACCACCATGGTTTTTTTATAAAGATTATGTAAGGTCATTTATCTTTTAGATAACAGTTTCTTCAAATTTTATACCTATCGTAATTTGACTCACTTATCATTAAAAAAAATTTGGTTATTGCATACAATATCAATAATCTCATCAATTTGCATTACAAAAATATTTTGCAAGTTAAATAATTTTACATAATAGTTTAATCAAATGAGAGTTTTATCCGTAAGACCGTAACTTAATTTTATTATTAGACCACTCACTACAAAAGATTTAGGTAAAATATTTTTATAACAATAATGTAAATTACAAATATATTATGTAAAACTTATAAGTAAATAGTAATTTCTTATGTATCAGTTAAACAAATGTATCATGTAAGTGTTCCTCAATAATTAAAATACTAAGTAAAGCTTATAGAAGTATCTTACCTAAATTATTTTATTTCAACTAATTTATCAAATGTGAGGATAAAAAGTTAATTGTTATGAGTTGCTCACCGCCGCGAAGCGCGGGCCAAAAAACCAGTAATTTATAAGTGAGAAATTGACATTTATTGTGGGTGACCTCTTGGGAAGTCATCTTGATATGCATGTCAAGATCATGGTTTAGGCTCAAAGTGGATGACCTCTTGGGAAGTCATCTTTATTGTGGGTGACCTCTTGGGAAGTCATCTTGATATGCATGTCAAGATCATGGTTTAGGCTCAAAGTGGATACTATTTTGACCAGAAAAAAGGTTTGGGATGTTACTCTCTGTGCCCACTCTTGGGGGCAAATCTCTCCCTAAAGAATATTTTTTGGGGGATGTATGTAACACTTTAGAAAATTTCACATCTACAAAGAGGGAGTGATTTCAAAGATGAGTGACAAAATGCATTTTGGAATAAAATGGAGGAGTTCTTTTAGGAACTCCGAAGTTAAATGTGCTAACTATGAAACATTTTCAAAGATGAGTGACCTCTCAGAAAGTTATCTTGATATGCACACGCCAAAACCCAAACCTTCGGATCTAGATTCAAAACAGACTATATTTTAATTAGAAAAAGATTCGAAAATTATCGTAATTTAATCTTGTCTACTACGTAGACGCGTTAGTGACTTAGTGGCCTTTCCACTGGGCTTTTAGAAATAGGCTACTAGTGGGCTTGTTCTATACCCGTTGGGCCTTTATAGTGTAAAATGTTGTTAAAAGACAGACGTCGAGCATCTAATTCATATTAATAACAGAACGTTCGTGGGAAATTCCCATTACATCATGATTGATCCATTTGATCAAGTCCCTATCACACACATTGAAATGATGTGTGCCAAAATCAAAATCATGAGCCTTGTTGGTCAAGTAATCAGCCGTGTAATTCGCTTCTCTATATACGTGGGAGACTCTAACCTCCCATTGTTGATCCAAAATATAACTCAAATGCCTGGCAGTAGTACCATTTTTTTTTTAAACAGAGAACAGAAAAGAAAAAAGAGAGTATGGGGATCACATGAAAGAAGAGGCAGATGAGATCTGCAGAGAGAGCAGGGGGTTCCAAAATCTGAAGGGCAGGAAAGGAAGAGAAGTAGGGACCATTGAAGTCCACAATAATAATGTATAAGTCCACTGCAGTCTTTCTGCCTTAAGGCTAAGGGTGTGTCTTTAAAAAGAGAGACAATTGCTGACCTCCCCTTTCATCTTCTCTTTGCTTGTCTACCTTGCCATCTTCTTTTCCTTTTTCACCCTCATGATCCATTGCAATCCATGAAACGTGCACCATTCTCAATTTCTCACCCAAAGTGAAGTGAAGGGAATTAAGTTAATGGTTGATACTAGGGGTAGGGTGACTATACGGTCCGGTTAAATTGTTCCGCATTGATCCGGTCTCGGTCCAGTTTTTTATTTTAGAATATGAGGACCAAAGATTGTATTGGATACAGTTTGGTTTTGACCCGGTTCGATCCCTATTCGGTCTTGATTTTATATTGAGCTTATAGGGGTTTGAGTTGGCTGAGGCCTAAAAGGATGAAGAGTTGGTTAGGTTTTGGGTGTTGGGCTCTCTTATTCGGTTTCTGGTCCGATCCCAGACTATTTTTTTACCTCAAATCAAAGCTCGAATACGGGATTGGATTGTTTGCTATCCGGTCCCGGTCCGAGTTATACGGTCCGGTTTTGTGTAAAACCAAAAAACCCGAACCAAATAGCCACCCCGCTACTTGATCCTACTATTTGTCTGGAATTTTCTTTTATAACCGTGTCTCTGTGAATATGTTCAACACTATTTTCATTCTTCCTGGTATATGGTAAATTTATGAGAGCAGGCGATTCAGTCTTATAACTCTATTAATGACAACATAAGATTTTTTTATAGATCAGAATGTTAAGATGTGAAACCCGACACACGATTTAGTCTCATAACTTACTTTGTCTAGATATTTAGGGCATAAAATGAGTGTTCATTTTTCATTTGGGGTTGTTAAATTTCCAAGAGCACTTACTTTGGTAGTGGGATCTTACTAACATTCACTTAGTTAGGTCGCTTTCTCCCTTCCCTTGCTTTTTCTATATCATGTGTTCTCTCTTCCCCGATTGAATTTCAAGTGCCTTTGAATGGGGGCGAAAAACTTAGTGGCGAGGAGTGGATGTTGGATTTGGCCACTCGACTAGTTTCGTTTTGGAGGTTAATTAGTTGTCACCAAATACCAATTCCTTTGATTGCGATGATGGAAAGGATTAACATTGTTTGTTAACATATTGAGATTAAATATTGAAGACAATCTCACTTACAAAAATAAAATAAAAATTGTTTTGCACTCATTGTTCTTCTACTTCCTATATAACAATATAGATGTCTCCAAATTATAAACCATGGACTAAGATCTGAATAATTGAAAATTTGGCAAAAGTCTTATCATATTCCACAAAGAACCGATATACAGTCTTGGTGAACCATATTAGAACATTTTTTTAGTAGAACAAGGAAAGTTTGCATTACCCATGTGGCCATGTGTATAGAGAACGAAATGGGGTAGCTGATTACCTGGCTAATAAGGGTTATGAGTAACCGACATAAACCTCGATTATGGATTTCTACGATCCCTATTGTTTGTAATCTGATCAAGTATGGTCTTTTAGAGATCTCCCTTTTAATACAGTATAGAGCGCTTCTTTACGTT